AATGGAGTTTTTCTTTCTTTACTGGCATATTTCGATTATGTGAATATCAAGAGGTCGACTTGCACCAAGTCTAACACAAACATAATCAGCCTTCTATGTACACACACAAATAACAATAAACACAGCTGTTTCCCGCCAATTCGACTTACTCCTCAGCGGTATTTACACCAAAGTTATGCTAATATTTCGCAAACAATAAGCAGATTTCGACGGAAAATACTGTAAAGTTAGCCACCAAAAGCTAATAACTTGTGAAGGAAAAGAAGCAGAACTTGAAATGAATTCTTTTTGGCTACGATTTCGTCGATGTGAAGTTAAAGATATGTAAGAAGCCAATTTACTCGCTCGAGGAGAAATCAAGTGTCAAATATCGTCGAAACTACCCTTCATTTTGCTAACAACATGCATAAAAACTCACTCCTAGACCGTTTGACTGCTTGACAAGTACTCCAGAACTAATTTAAAGATGTGATTAAACATTTAGAGCTGATAAACACTGCTWTTTCASTCGAAAGTATTTTTAAGGTGAGTTAAATGTTTTGCTTCGAATATGCTGTAAGATCAGTCAAAATTACTGCTATAAACGAGCTGAGAATACAAAAGTCACGACATTTGAGTGCATTTACATTGTATAAATGGATATTTCGGTCTTTGTGCAACATGTTTGAGTAGATTTTGATGTCATATCCTGTAAATTAAGAAATATTTTAGCAATTAAGAAAAGGCATATTTACGTGTTTTCACAAAACCATGGTCTGCATATCGTGAAATTTTTATAGGAAATCTTACTTTGCCAGAGCTAGTCTTTAGCACATTGAAAGATCGATAGATTCCTTGTTTGCAAACAAAAGATGGATTGATTTGGGTATATGGCACAGGAGATACAAATTTTTTTAAATATGGAATTTCAGACTTATGAAAACCGAGCAAAATATGGCTTCCAAAAGAGGAAGCCCAAAGTTTGGGAATTTAACTATTCCAAATGAAAATGCTATTTACGATAAAAGTAAAGATGCATTTCAACGGCCAGTCCCTAAATTTGCTGATTATGAAAGTAAAAATACCATTTTGGGGGCTTTATTTTGTACATCAAATTGAGGTTGAAATTTGTGTTTTGAGGCACCAAAGAAAGCAACTGCTTTTAAAAATCAGGAAAACTGAGAATCCAAAAACCAAATGGTTTTTGATGATCAGTAACCCAAAGAGTATYAGTGCATGGAATATYATGAGAATCGGTGAGGTAGCCTTGCCAAGTGATTCTTGATGCTTACAGATAATTGCTCTTAATTGTTCATCATTTTCCCGTGACAATTTGGGTAGTTTATCAAAGATATTATGACGGGTTTGTACAGAATATACAAAATGAGTGTATATAACTTCAACTGTTCAATAAATTGTGATAATTAAGCATTAGCAAATTAAGCATTATTTTTTTGCGCTCCTCAACTGTATTATATATTATATTTAGCTCTTTAGTCCGACTCGAAGTCTGACTCGAAGTCCAACTCGAAGTCCAACTCGAAGTCCAACTCGAAGTCCAACTCGAAGTCCAACTCGAATTCCAACTCGAGGGTTTATGTCTCCCAGTTTGCACAAATGTTTCTGATGATTCTAATCTGTTATCAACAACAAACATAATATGGAAACGAGAATACCTTCT